ACCGTGAAGTTGAAATCGAAAAGCGAAGCCAACCAAAACTTCAGCGCAGAAAATAGGGAGCTGAGGAGAAAAGCTCCAATGAGAGGGAACAAGGTCCGGGAGCATAAAGGGAGCAAAGCATTACTGCTTGGACTTTAACGACGAAACTCGGAGTAGAAGCACAACTGCTCCACATAGCTGAGCTTTCTGGATGATGGGCAAGACGGGCGAAAAGGGCGGACGGGGAACAGATGGGATGGATGAAGAAAGAGAGGATAATGCCGAACAGACGATAGCCATCATTTCGGAGTGCGAGGCAAAACTCCTACATACATCCGAACAACAGCAGACATCACAAATCCAGGAACTAGCATTTATTTTAAAGGGTTACTACTACTACTGCTACTGCAAATACTACTATTACAGTGTAGCAATTGAAGATTGAGAGATAGTGCTACGGGAAAATTTTTTATTTCTAGGTCCGAGAAATGGTCAGTTTCAATGGACTCATCAACGGATGAACTGCTAAATGAGGAATCGTCACTGGATTCAGAAGTGCTCGAACGATTAATGAGCACAGATGTTGTAGGCAAGAAAAAGAGCTCAGTGTGGAAAAAGTGTATCCCGAAAATGAAAGCAACTCAGAATCGAAGGACCTACTCCGCCCGGGCGCGCGGGAACATCCCAGTAACGCCACTAGAAAGAAGTATCCATTCTAATTCAGGCATTCTTGATGCCTACTATTTGTAAACAGCTGAACTTTTCTGCGAAAATAAAGTGAGGTTATCCAGATCACCTCAATGTCAATAAGATGTGCCCTTTCCACCATCTGACAAAATTGAATTTTAATACCCTTTCGAAAAGCAAAAGACTGAAACCTGCAAGAAGCAATGACTTTTGGAAAAAACAGCCCTGTTCCGTGAAACCTTGCGTATCGGTGAGTTGTACCAAAGTCATCACCTACTCAAACGGCCTCCAGAGTGGTTGCGCTCCTGTATTGTTCAAACGGTGGTTATAAATTGGAAGCTTGTAGCTCAGGATAGAGTAGTCTAACACAGGCGCGCCCAAGTTTTGGCACAGGTGTACTCGGGACTCAATGAATGGTACCCTTTAAAAAGCGAATGCTCGAAGATGGTTGCTTATTCAAACTGTGCTTTATAGTTGGCTGGTGATCTTTTTAGGCAATGTTTCACGTAACGGCGTGACGAGTGAAATGCAAGGAGGCACTATAATTTTGAACGATTCTAATTCTCTGACAG